GAGAAACTTAAGCCAATGAAGGGGAGTCACTGGCTTTGCAACTTTCCCAGGCAATGCCCTATACCTGGGTCACCTGCCTAGCAGATGGCCCTAAGTAGTAGGTCCCTGGGCCAATGGATCCTGGAGATAGGAACTATCTTCCCTAGCTCTTTGGTTTGGTCCAGATTTGGGTCTTGCAAATAGTTCCTGTATGAGCCTCCCCACTTCTGCCTTCCCCTCTGAGCCTAAAATGTGGGTATATTTTCCTGTGATTCAGTTTCTGGGAGGCATCAAGCTTTGCCCAACTGCTTATTAGGTTTCAGAAAGAACATCATGGTTTGATAGAGTCATCCAAATAATTTTTGGAGAAGGCTTTTCTTTCCAGCAGTGGGGCTGCAGCCAGCTCCATCAAGCTTTTGTTGCTATCCTTGATCCCATAAAGGCAGTGATCTTGCTCCAGCAGGATCATTGCAGTGGAAGTCCCTATGGTCTCCCAAGGTCTCCAAGCCTGGAGCAGGATGGGCAGGGCCCAGATATGAAGGTAGATGGCAGGACCTGGGCTTATTTTGCTTTCTCCAAACCACAGCTGAGAGCCCAGGAAACTAGAAGTCTAAATTCAGGTTGTGGCTCTAGTGGAAGGTTATCATTCACTCATCTGGTGTGGTACATGTGTGTGTAGGGGGTTGGCAAGTAGGTCCCATGGGACTGCCCTGTCAAGAGGGGACCAAAGATTCTGCCAGCCTCTCTGACTCAACCAGGAGACCTCTGCAGAGGCCTGCAAGCTGGCTGGGAACAGAGATGGGAGCATTGAGGGGAGGTAGATCTGGGCATGAGGAGGGCAGTGTTATGGATTAAATTGTGCCCCTCAAAATACGGTTGTAAATCCTAACCTCGATGCCTGTGGTTATCTCATTTGGGAATGGGTTTCTTTGTTATGTTAATGTGACAGATTAGTGTAAGATGTATTTGAAATCAATCCCATTTGAGATATAAAAAAGCAACTGAAAGCAGCAGAGATGGAGAAGAGAGATGCCAAGCCACATGAAGACTGCCCAGGAGCAGAAGCTCAAAGAGACAAGGACTTTCCTTCAGAACAGACTGAGAGACAGCCTTCCACTAGAGTCGCAACCTGCATTTGGACTTCTCGTTTCCTAAACTGTGAGTCTTTCAGTTTGTTGTCCTGTGGTGGCTTGCGTGTTGCTGTGACACCAGTATTTTAAATACCAGCAGGGTCACCCATGGTGGACAGGTTTCAGGGGAGCTTCTACACTAAGACAGATGGGAAGAAAGAAGGGGCCAGACACTTCGCAAAGAATTGGCCAGTGAAAACTTTATGAATTGCAGTGAAACAGTGTGTAATATATCACTGGAAAACTTTATAAGTAGCCCTGAAACATTGATGTAGTGCCAGAAGATAAGCCCCTTAACTCAGAAGGCACTAAAAATACAACCAGGGAAGAAACTCTGCTCCTCAAAGTAGAGTCCATCTTAATGACATGGATGGAATAAAGCTTTCAGGACCTCCATTTGCTGATGGGGCACAACTTAAAATGGGAAGAAACAGCTGCAAACATCCATTAATGATCAGAACATGGAATGTACAAAGTATGAATCTAGGAAAATTGGAAGTTGTAAAAAATGAATGGAAATCATAAAGATCAATATCCTAGGAATCAGTGAGCTGAAATGGATGGTTTTGGTCATTCTGAATCAGACAATCATATGATCTACTATGCCAGGAATGACAAATTGAAGAGAAATGGTGTCACATTCATCATCACAAAGAATGTTTCAAAATCCTGAAGTACAGTGCCATCAGTGATAGGATAATATCCATATGCCTACAAGGAAGACCAGTTAATATGACTATTATTAAAATTTACACAACCACCACTAAAGCCAAAGATGAAGAAATTGAAGATTTTTACCAACTTCTTCAGTCTGAAATTGACCAAACATGCAATCAAGATGTATTGATTATTACTGGTGATCTGAATGTGAAAGTTGGAAACAAAGAAGAATCACCAGTACTTGGAAAATATGGCCTTGGTGACAGAAATGATGCAGGAGATCACATGATAGAATTTTTGTGAGACAAATGACTTACTCATTGCAAATACCCTTTTTCAACATAAATGGCATGGACCTTGCCAGATGGAATATACAGGAATCAGACAGACTACATCTGTGGGAAGAGGTGATGGAGAAGCTCAGTATCTTCAACCAAAACAAGGCCAGGAGCTGACTGTGGAACAGACCATCAATTGGTCATATGCAAGTTTAAGCTGAAGCTGAAGACAATTCAAACAAGTCCACAACAGCCAAAATAGGACCTTGATTACATCCCACCTGAATTTAGAGACCATCTGATGAACAGATTTAACTCATTGAACACCAATGACTGAAAACCAGATGTATTGTGGGACAACTTCAAGAACATCATTCATGAAGAAAGCAAAAGGTCATTAAAAAGACAGAAAAGGAAGACCAAAATGGATGTCAGAAGATACTCTGAAACTTGCTCTCGAATGGAGAATAGGTAAAGGACATGAAAGAAATGACAAGATAAAAGACTGGACAAAAGATTTCAAAGTGTAGCTCAAGAAAAAAAAAAAGGAAATTATTATAATGAAATGTGCAAAGACCTGGAGTTGAAAAACCGAAAGGGAAGAACACTCTTGGCTGAAACACTCAAGCTGAAAGAACCGAAGGAAAAAAAAAAAGCCTTGAGTTGCAATACTGAAAGTTTCCATGGGCAAAATACTGAATGATGCAGGAAGCATGAAAAGAAGATGAAAGGAATACACAGAGTCGCTGTACAAAAAAGAATTAGTCAATGTTCAACTATTTCAGGAGGTGGCATATGATCAAGAACCAATGGTACTGAAGGAAGAAGTCAAAGCTGCACTGAAAAAACTGGCATAAAACAAGCCTGCAGGAATTGACAGAGTATCCGAGATGCTTCAACAAATAGATGCCATGCTGGAGGCACTTAATTGTCTATGCCAAGTAATTTGGAAGACAGCTACCCGGCCAACTGACTGGAAGAGAGCCATATTTGTACCCATTCCAAAGATAGGTGATCCCACAGAATGTGAAAATTATTGAACAATATCACTAGTATCAACAAGTAAGATTTTGCTGAAGATAATTCAAAAACAGTTGCAGCAGTATGTGGACAGGGAACTTCCAGAAAAGCTGGATTCAGAAAGGGATGTGGAACAAGGGATATCATAGCTGATGTGAAATGGATCTTGGCTGAAAACAGAGAATACCAGAAAGATGTTTACTTGTGTTTTATTGACTATGCAAAAGTATTCGTGTTTTATTGACTATGCAAAAGTATTCAACTGTGTGGATCATAACAAATTATGGATAACATTGACAAGAATGGGAATTCCAGAACACTTACTTGTGCTCCTGAGGAAACTGTATATAGACCAGGAGGCTGTCATTCAAACAGAGCAAGGGGACACTGTATGGTTTAAAATCAGGAAGGGTGTGCTTCAGGGTTGTATCCTTTCATTGTACTTATTCAGTCTGTGTGCTGAGCAAATCATCTAAGAAGCTAGACTATATGAACAAGAACATGGCATCAGGATTGGAGGAAGACTCATTAACAACCTGCGATATGCAGATGACAACCTTGCTTGCTGAAAGTGAGGATGACTTGAAACACTTACTGATGAAGATTAAAGACTACAGTGTGCAGTATGGATTACATAAACCTCAACATAAAGAAATGAAAATCCTCACAACTTGACCAGTAAACAGCATCATGATAAATGGAGAAAAGATTGAAATTTTCAAAGATCTCATATTACTTGGTTCCACGATGAACATCAATGTAAGAAGCAGTCAAGAAATTAGACAGCGAGCGTATTGTGCTGGGCAAATCTGTTGCAAAAGACCTCTTTCAAGTGCTGAAGAGCAAAGATGTCTCTTTGAAGACTAAGGTGCGCCTAATCCAAGCCATGGTATTTTCAATAGTCCCATACGCATGTGAAAGCTGGACAATGAATAAGGAAAACCCAAGAAAAATTGATACTTTTGAGTTGTGGTGTTGACAAAGAATACTGAAAGTACCATGGACTGCCAGAAGAACTAACAAATCTGTCTTGGAAGAAGTGCAGCCAGAATGTTTCTTGGAAGCGAGAATGGCCAGACTTCATCTCATCTACTTTGGTCATGTTGTCAGAAGGGACCATTCCCTGGGGAAGGATATCATGCTTGGTAAAGTGGAGGGTCAGCAAAAAAGGAGAAGGTCCTCAATGAGATGGAGTGACACAGTGGCTGCAATGATGCGATCAAGCACAGGAAGCATTGTGAGGATGGTGCACAACCAGGCAGTGTTTTGTTCTGTTGTACACAGGGTTGCCATGAGTCAGAGGTGACTCGATGGCACGTAACAACAACAGCAACAAATTGAGAAAAATAAACTTGTTTATTAAAGCCATCTTTTTGTGGCATTTCTGTTATAGCATCACTAGATAACTAAGACAGAGCCCCTGAAGAGACGGAGTCCTGGGAGAGCCAGTGTGCAAAGGTGGCAGAGGACCTGGAGCCAAGTTCAGCCTGATCCCAGTTTCTCTGTGCAGTCTGAGCTGGCCCAGGATGGACAGGTGCCGGGGAGTGCATGAAGCCTACTTTAGCTGTGGCATGTGTACCTCTCTATCAGGGGCCCATGGGAAAGAACACCAAGAGAGACCAAGAGACACAGCACAGGCCCATCACCCGCACTTGCCTCAGGTGCTGGAAATATTGACTATCCATTAAACACACACACACACATACACATATTCAATATGTCAAGAAAAGTGGGGGAAACAAATTAAACATTTCAAAGCGACAGAAGATAAAAACTAGGCTCTCAGCTCTAAAAGTGACTGAATTAGAAGTTAAAAATGGTGTGGTAATTCAGATTCTGCCAATCCTTTGAAAAATGTGGTCCCTGATGACTACCAAGGTGCTCCCACAGAGGCTCCATGTCAGCCTCGCAATCAAAGCTAAAATCAACTGTCCTATTCAGTTTGATATTTAAAAGAGGTCATCAAGTTGTAGTCCTCTTCCAAATCCAGAACAGTCTCAACGATACTGTAATCATCAAAAGTCTGCTTGAGACCACCAGGGTCAGCATCTGAGGACTTCTGTGGGTTCTCGTCCTCGAGCAGGGCCCAGGCTTCTTCTTTGAGGGGTGAGTCGTTGCAGCGACCACACATGCGGTTCAACTCATTCTCAAATTCTAGTTTTCCAGCCAATTCTTCAATAGTCCGGATGCTTGTATGGTCTTAAAAATAAGAACATTCAGCTTTATAAATTTTATAAATTTAGTGAGAGGTTTCATAAGGTCTTTCAGACATAAGTTAAAAACATGTATGGGTTGTGCAAAGGCAAGCATTCCCACCCAGGGCAGGCTGGCCCACAAAGAGAGGACCAGGAAAGCAGGCATGGTTCCCTCCTTTTAGGCCGAGCATTTATCAGATCCCAACTATCTGCCAGCCCTAAGGAAGGTGTTAGTAGGGGAACACAGAGCTGCACACACTTGTCCTGGTTCTCCAAGAACTCCCTGACCTGCAGGGATGACAAAACATGGTGGGATAGTTAACCAAAGTGCTGCCTGACACTGGCAAGAGCAGTGTAAGGGGGTGGGCAGAGACCATTAGGCTTCACTGCATCTCTGGGAAAATGGAGGACTCAGTGCACTGGAGTGGTGGCCTGGCAGAGGTCTTGCTTTATGGTCTAGGGCGAGTATCCCCCAAGGCCTCCTCCTTTTAATCCCTCATAAATTGGGAAGCCCTTCAGAGCCAACACTTCCAGGCAGCGCCCAAGCCTATACATCCATTAATTAGGAGCTATTTGTCTACTATGCAGTGTGAGCCATTTAAAATCAATCTACACACAGAATATAGATGTGTGTGTAAAAGAAAATGTCTGACAGGATGTACACCTATGTGAACACTGGCTATCTCAGGGTGGTAGAGTTATATATGGGAGTTTTGGCTTCTAATTTTTCTTCTCATTTTGATTTTCCCACCTCAGCTGGACTGCTCTGCCCTCCTCCTGCCTATCTCTTTATTTCCTTCAGCTTGTAAACTCAACCAACCACCAAGTCCTTGGGGCTAGTGTCCCTTTCCTGAGGGCTTCACTGTATCTAGACATTTATGTAATAACCTGATTGCTGTGTCCCCCCCTAGGCTGTCAGCTCTATGAGGGCAAGAACAGGGCTGGTTTTGCTCACCACTCTGTGGAGAACCTGTTGTGAACAAAACAAATCTGCTGAATGAATTCATGATAAAAGCGTGGCTTTTGTTGACTTGGGAGCCTGCTGAGGGCCCTTCCCTCCTGAGGAATGGATAGACCAGCCATCTATACTTACCAATCATCTCAAGCAGATCCTTTGTGACTTCTTGGGTAGAATTGTTGAATGGCATATTTGAGTCAACCTTCAAATCTCCCTCCAAATCTTTCCTGCAACCCCAAGATGGAGGTGAGGGGGAACAGGGGAGGGAAAAGTGGGGAATTAGATCTTCTTTCAAGAAACTATTGGTGGGGAACAGTGTTTGTTAGATAAATCTTAAAGATAAAAACTTGTCACTTATGCCGTAATTACAGGACAATTGGAAATTGTTAAATCAGTGAAGAAATATCATCTAATGACTAATACCATAATGGCTCATGAGCATCACCAACTGTGCATGAGTGCTTATGATAACAATAAATTATTTGTGGAGCTGAGCCAGTAAAACAGTCTCTGGATTCCCTGCCTACAGGGGAACCAAGATGGCAGAATGTTTCATTCCTAAAGTGGTTCTTGCTCCAAATCAAGGCATCTGGGACCTGGCAGAATGAAGTTACCTTGAGAAGAAAAGGTCTAGAGAAAACCTTAACCCAGGAACGGCTGGGGGACAGACAGGGACAGAGGCAAGAATGCAGCCAGGGAAGGAGGGGGCAGCCTCTCCCCAGTGTGGGCAAAACCCCCAGTGTCCAGACTCAGACATTGGAATTAAGATTTCTGTTTCTGCAGTGTAAAAAAAAAAAGAAAAAAAATTCAAGTTACTTAACAGTTTACTATCCCCTTGAGTATTGTAAAGTGGTTTCCATGACCTGATTGACCTTCAAAATTGACAACACCCTGGACCCCTCCAACCAAAACCCAGGAAACATTAACTATTTTGGGGCCTGATTCTGAAGAATGTCTGTGAAACTCTCAAACATGGTCTTAGTGTGCCCCAGAGGAGCCAAGGGCAGTGTCAGACACAATCTACACTCTTCAAGAATGTTTTCAGAAACAAGAATTGCCTTAATGATACGTTTTGAACTATCAGATTAGAATCACCTTAAACTTTCTTTTCTCCAGTTTTCCCCATCTCCCGCAGCTCTCCAAAACTGCCTTTCAGGTGCCAAAATGGACGAATGCATCAATACGTTTTCCTTGCTGGTCAGAGGTTTTCTTTTGGGGCAGAAAACATGTGGTTTTGCATTCACCGGGGCATGGTTTGGTGCAAAAGCAAGGCTCTCCTTCTCAACAGCACACGGGACTGGAGCAAAGGGTGCTGCAGCACAGGCGGCGAGCGTGTGTCTCCTGCAGAGGAGCTGGTGTAGTGGGAGGAGTAAGGCGGGCAGGTCCGCCCTCTGTGGGCCAGGGCACTCTTGGGAATGACTTACTCCTTCAAAGGCCCGGTCGATGGCTGCAGTCAGCTCCTTTCTGCATCTTCTTAGTTTTTCAGACATTTCCCCTAAAAGGGACCATGTCTTTATTATGTAATGAATTGGAAACGCACACACACAATAGAACGACAACTTCACAGATGCTCTGGCAAACTATACCCTAAAAAGGCACTTGCCACGATTTCCTTGAGCTTGACAGGTGCGCTACAGGCTGGAGGGTAGGGAAACCCACACTAGGTCGCCGTCTCACTGGGCGCGCCGCCTGTGGCTCAACAGTAGGAGCCCGCAATCCCACTGGAGGAGTGCCAGCACGCCCGCCCAGCCCACCGCTTCCCTCTCGACCCCGCCCCAGCGCCACCCTCGGGCCAGAGCCCTGCAGCCGCGTCCTCACCGAGCAGCCGCTGCCACTGCTGGTCCCAACGGTCGCCTTGCGCACCGGGACTGGCGGCCCCCAACCCCCACGGCTCGGGTAAAAGGTCAGGCAAAAAGCCCTGACGACCTGGTTCTGTAAAGCCACGCGGCCGGGAGGGGAAGCCACGCGGGGGTGGGGGGTGGGGCTGGGGACCCGTCGGAAGAAGCCCGCTGCAGCTCTTAAAATTGTCAAGAACAGGAGCACTTTTCTAGGGCTGACATTCTCCCAGGTAAATTCTCATTCTCAAGCCAATGTGGAGAGGCACACAATACCCAGCTGTGTTCCAACAGCACTTACGTGTTATCACTTGGTACCCCCGCACAGTCTCAATTAACCAAGGCTAATGAGGGACATAAGTGAACTCCTGGGTTCCACAAAAGGTGGAGGACAGGAGACCCAAACACTGAACATCTCTATTTGATTAGCTGGGAATTCCAAGGTGACTCAGCAGAAACAGACCGGGAGTGAGTGGCTAATGCTTAGGGAATTATAAACACATTTCAGTGCAAGGGAGAAAGGGACAAAGTCAGATTTACTTGAGGGCTCACTTCACTGTGAGCAGACTACTAAGGTGACCAGTCAACAGCACAGAACCAGAAATCCAGGCACTCAGGGCGGCCCTGCAGCAGGTCTTCACAGCACCCCCTCGCTCAATTACAGTGTGCTCCTCTCCACTCTTTGGAATCCATCAGACACATTCCACTGTGCCCCCCACCCCCACTGCAGCGCCACAGGTTTTACAGAAATGTCACCACCTGTTTAAAAAGAAAAATAATTCAGTCTCTTGACATAACCCTTCTGAGCAAACAGGGTCTTTTTTAATCTCCTCATTAAAGAAGGGAATTTCATCTGGTTTTAAACACTAGCAGTCTTCAGGGTGTCAAAGATGCTCTCCTGTGGGGGTTACACTGTGCTGTGGGGTGGCAGGGTCACCGAGGCAGTGTCAGTTGGTGTCCATGCTGCAAGCCTCATCTTCCCCCAAACCCTGCTGGGAGCTGCTTGGTGGTGTCCCTCCATCAGAGGAACCAGGAAAACTGTTGGCTGAAGGTGTCTTATAAAACTCATCATCCCGACGCTGGTAAAATAGCACATAAGCTGCTTTAGTCTGAAAAAAAAAAAAAAAGAGGGAAAAACTCCATTCATTGACTGGAAAAATCAAGTTAGGTCTGGAGCATCCACTCTCCTGGCTTTGTCACTGTTCAAATCACACCACAGTTAAGGATCGATCTATTTATTCTCTTGGCCTGTGCATTCACACAAGTAACCATGAAGGCCCCTTCCCCCTGAGGCAGACTCATGTTGACTGTGCCAGAGGAGTGGGGAAAAGCAGGTATCTCATGATGTAGAACCCCGACCCTGAGAAGAGCTGACTTCACTTTTAGGAAGGGTCTAGATGGGATGGCAGCCAGCTTTCTACCATCCCTCCATCCCTAGCTACCACTCTCATACCCAAAAAACCAAACCCATTGTCAATGAGTCGATTCCAACTCATAGTGACTCCCACTGGGTTTTTTCCAAGGCTATAAATAATTACATAAGTAGATTGCCTCATTTTTCTCCCATGCAGCGGCTGGTGGGTTTGGACCGCCAACTTTCTGGTTAACATCCAAATGCCTTACCCACTATGCCACGAGAGCTTCTACTGCCACATCAGGATTACCAAATACCACACGAACCCAAATTCCTTCCCAGCTTTAATACATAAAGGTGAGAGGAGGAGCCAGGGCAGAGCCTACTCACCACTATCTGATCCTCGGAGGCCAGGGACACATTGCTATCATCAAAGTAATACCATTTCCCGTTCAATTTGTTCTTTGCATATGCAGTATCTGCCAAGTCAACAAAGAAAATACTGTAGCAATCACCAGAGAATTAATCTGGCTACTTTACACAGGCCCACACTAAACAATCCTTCTATACTTCTCAACAACAAAAACCTTAAAAACAAAAACTGGAATTAAAAATTATTCATGTTTTGTATCTTAACAACCAAAGCTAATTCACCTTTTTGCTTCTAAAAAAGGCTCCACACCAAGGTCAGAATGGAGCTATCACGGACCAAGGCTTTAAACTGTAATTTTGGGAAACTAATCCAAACTACAGAGGAATCCAATGTCAGTCTTTAGGCTGGCCATGAACAATAATCCTAAACCCGGAGCCACGTAACAGGAACTGTCACTGCTAAGATTGAAACAAAAACAGCAACTCTCATATAGCAAGTCAAACTCCCTCCCATCCAGGCAGACGGCAACTGCGCTCAGCACATGCCTCCTGTGGTGCCTCTACAGCCTGTGGGGTAGGCCTGGTTAGGGACATACTGGGTGTTGTTGGGGTTTGCAGAGCTGTGACATGAATAAGCAGGAAACCTTAAATGTATCCTTCTTTAAAACTGTGAGTCTAAAGTATATGATTAGACAACAATTTCTCACAATAATCCAAGTATTTCTACTCAGCTAAGTCTTCCTGCATAACTTTACACAACTTGCAGGCAGGATGTTGTTTCTAACATCAAGGCCAGGAATAATCTCTAATTCCTGTTCCACCCAAATGCTAAGATCCAGTGGAGATATGGTTTCTAGCCTCAACGTGCTTGGTGACCTTTGGCAAGCAATTTAACCCTTCCTCCTGCTTCTACACTTTTGTGTCTACTGCACAAGGTAGTGGTATGGAACATGGGAAAGGGTGACAGGAAGATGATTAGGGTCTTGTCCACGCTAACTGTACTTGGTAAGATAGCAGCGATGGTGGCTTTCAATCTGCAGTTCCGACTGTGAGCCCACTGTGAGACTGGGCACCAGACTCCAACACAACCAGTCAAATCTCACGGATGGGAAAACTAAGGCACACAGAGACTAAGAAACTCGGCTAAGTGGTATGTTTATATGCTAAAAAAGCACTTACAAATCAAAAAGGAGAAAATGCAAAACAGAATTTCAAATCCTCATAGACTCCAGACTTTCTAGAGCCATGGAGGCTGGATGAACCCTTAAACTATTGTTCTTAGATGATACCAAAAATATCCCTGAAGTCTTCTTAAAATCAAACAATAGTTTAACTTACTTTAACACTCTAATAAAGAATGTCTGCCTTGAGCGCTGTGTTCTTTCAAGATCTATCTATATGGGGTTAAACTAATAACCCAAAAGATTAGACAGGAACCTTAGGGGGCAATGAGTTTGTTAATGGGGGAGGCACAACTCCAAAAAGGAGAACGAGAATGGTTGTACAACTTGAAGAATGTCACTGAACTGTACACGTAGAAACTGTTGAATTGGTCTCTGTTTTGCCATGTATATTCTCAACAAAATAAAGTTTAAAAAAAAAAAAAGAGAATATATTTGACCCGTATGCATGAATACAGACATACGTTACAATTAATGCTATGAGGAAAAAGCAAGAAGAGTAAGTGCCACAGGGTATAACACAATCAGAAATCATCGACAGCCAATCCATGCAAATTTTCATTTCCCAGCCTCTCCTGCAACTATGTTGTTGTTGTTGTTGTTGTTATGTGCCATCGAGTCGGCCCTGACTCATAGCGACCCCTCCTTGGGTTTCCGAGGCAGTATCACTACGGAAGTAGGAATGCCCAACCTTCCTTCCGAGGAGTGGCTGGTGGGTTTGAATCGCCAGCCTTCTGGTTATCAGTCAAGTGCTTTTAGCCACTATGCTACCAGAGCTCCTTCCTGTAACTATATGTGACCAAATTATATTGATGTGTGGAGGAACTGAGGGGGCTTTTGGGAGGTTTGCTTAAAAGAAAAGGCTGTGCTCCCCTTTTGTCTTCTTCTGATGGCCTGGAATGTGGACATGAGGGCTGGAGACTGAGAAGCCATCCTGAGCCAGCGGGTGCTACGATAACAATGATAGGTCAGTAGTACTGAAACAGCCTGGAGCCTGAGGCCAGTGGAGCTGTACAAGTAAAGCGCTTAGGACAGTACCTGGCACGTAGGAGACACGCTGACAACTGACTAGCCAAGGGTATTTCAATAACTCAGTAGGGAAGCAGATGCTAGTACTTACAGTGGCCAACCCCCATGGCTCCATAATGATTGGACACGGCAATGAGGTCGTACACATAGGGCCTTGCTGACAGGTCACAGACAAACTCGGACATGTTCAGAGCTCTGAGCACAAAACACAAAATTAGCCCTTCAGTATGTTAAACTCAAAGAGATGTCAGGGCAATCCAGCAACACCTTTCATGCAAAAGGCTAGACCAGAGAGGCACTCCAAAACTGGCTGCAGAAGGAATGAATGAACATATGTGCAGAAGGGGCCCTGAGGGTCTGTCTCCTGACCACTGACGTGTTCAGATCAGAAAGTGGGAAAAGCCTCCTGTAAAGCTCCAACACCAGACTAAATGGTCGAGGAAGGGGTTTGAGGACAAACAGCCTCAGCAGCTACAAAGAAATGACTGCTGTTTAACAGAATCAAAACTGCTCCCATAATTTAAGCTAAATACCAAAACAGGCTCCAGTAAGCTTTTCCCCCTAGCTTTTATTTTGAAAGTTCCAAACATACAGAAAAAAGTATTTTACAAGTATCTAAAATGTCTATATACCCAACCACCTAGACTCTCCGACTGACACACCTTATACTTCATGTATTTATCCATCCTCCAAGAAAGCATTTTACAGTCTGCATTTGG